GGTTTTCCGCCAGTGTGGGCTAAATTTCGGGGGGGGTTCCCCCCCCCCCCCCCCCCCGCCTTGAGGAATTTGTAAGTAGGGGGTATGCAGGGGCTCCGCGCCATGAATCCATGCGATGTGACCGCTGATGATCATGTCGTAACTGCCGGATACAGCCAGATACAGGACAAAGATGCACACAGCAGCAGTAGGTGGGAAGCTGTGTGGCTATGATGTGTGGTTGTACGTGCGTTTGATGAAGAAGGTGATGTGTACGAGATGTTTACACACACAGCAGCAGCAGTGTAGCAGTGGTGTGCTTGGTCTACCACCAGTGCTTGGTTCACCACACGCGTGGTTTGCTTGGTCCAATATATATTTACTTGATTTTTTAGTTATGGTTTTGCCAACATTTTGTATCTTCCATCGTGATTGTTTCTGTTTCTCGTGTTTGAGTTTCTACCCGAGTCTCTCATTTCGACACACCCTTCAAAGAAGCACGCATCTCCTCCATCGTTGAGCTCGTGCTCGCTCAATCTCTCATTGTCTTCACGTCGTTTTTCGGCGCTCGGAGTCACCCTTCCCTGCATCATCACCTCCTGCACGGGATCGATTCTCTTCGGACACTGGTCGCTACCTTCACTTCCTCCACCTGTTTCGGGACCTCCTCCGCTAGCCCCGCTCTGTCGCGTACTACTTCCGTACGCTGGGTACCCTTACCAGACGCTGGGACCACTGCAGTTTCGAACCAAAAACGAGGTGGATAGGGTGATGAGCTATTGTCGCCCCGCATTCTCGGAAGAAGTCACGAAGATATTGTCGTTGAGATTATTTTACGAAGCCGAAGGAGATCGAAAGAGTCGCCCAATCTTGTTGTCCTTGAGTGACGCTTTGGCTCGAAGGAAGTCCACTTGGTGGTGAAAGTCTCGCACTACTGTGCTGAATGCTGGTTCCTGGACGAGATGGTTGGAAGCCCCTCGGATAAATCGCGTGTATTCCTTTGTCGAAGCCGCCGTGAGTGGAGAGAGCACCCGTCCGTGTGGTTGCACGGCCGCAGTGGTACAGTTGGCTACCGCGACAGCAGTAGCTACCGCGACAGCAGTAGCTACCGCGACAGCAGTAGCCAACAGGCACGGAGTCGGGACAGTGTTTGCAGCACGGCGGCTTTCTTCTTCTTTCGGGGGTGAAATAAGATGGGACAAAGCTTGAGAGGGTGGCCACGCAGAAATTGTTCGAAAGGGCTCACGGCTATATTCTAGGCTGTTCTTGTACCACTAGAGAAATCTCAGCCAATTGCGGTTGGCAACGGCGGCTACAAAATGTCCGCCGTCTACAACGGCGCACTAATATTACCGCTGCTCGACACTCGTGCGACGTGGCGCCCAGGCGAAAGCTTGGGTGCGAGACGTGGTGGTGAAGCTTCGGCTTTGCCCGTTCGCGGAGGCGGTTTTCAACGCGAGGAGTGGCGTTCGGTACGTGGTAACGCCCGCCGAAACGACGGACGAGGTTTGGAGAGAGTTCTTGCTGGAGGTGGACTTCCTCATGGACCACGACCGGGAGGTGCGGTGAATTTTGCGGGGTGTGGCTTCACCGGGACGTACATGCTTTTTGTTGCAGAGAGAATGGTGAGGGATTCGATAGCTAGAATCGGAGAGACATGAGAGAGAGATAGATAGATAGAGAGAGAGAGAGAGTTCCTAGTGACTGGAGGCACGTCCTCCGGCATCTTTGCTCCGGTGTTTGTTTTTCCAACGGCGTCTTTGGCCCGGCATGCCCCCGTCTAGGGAACTCCATGTAAGTTCCAAGCTCTCTGAGGCTTCGTATCCAGAAAACATTGTAGCAATCACAGCACCTTGTGGGAGGAGATGCAGATGACCGGTTTGCGAGAGGCCTTTCCATTTGCCACGAGTTGCAAAACTTCTTGGACTCCTGATACCGTCCGTGGCCTCGAGTTGGAAACCAAGTGAACAGCGTGTCACGTAGCCCGATTTGTTTTTTCGAGACTTTTGGCCTGTCTCACGATACTGTGTCGGGGTGCTGAATACTTTGCTTTTGGTCAGCTCGACGCTTTCCTCTTGGCACCTTTTTTTGTTTCACTTGCTTTTTGTTTTCTTTTTGCTATTCTTGTCTGTCGTTCCCCCGCCCCGCCCCTCCCGGCTTTTGCCGCCCCCCCTCGTTTCCAATGTCAACAAGGATGTAGGGACAACCTTATTGATTGCACCACGTTTTCTCAGCGATTTCCGCGAGTTCAACGACTTCTGCAGATGGCTGGAGGAGACAATCGAAGACGATGAGGTAAACGGCTGTTTTTTTTGCGCCAACTTCATATATTCCCTGCCAAAACCAGGAAATAAATGGAACCACCCCCAAGAAGTTTGCATTCATCATCGAACAAAAACAAGTTTACTTAAAACAGGAACTCTTCTATACCATTTGGTTAAGAACTTCAAATCCTGGACTATTTATGGAAACCGTAAACCTGCGCGTCCGAGGCACAAGCTCGGAAGAGGTTGGTAGTGCTAGACGTGTTGGTAGATTTGTTGTCGACTTCGCAACGAATAGAGTGGTGGAAACTCCGTACAGGAGTCTGGAACGGTGACCTCATTCCATTTGTTGACTTTTCGACTGTAGATTACAACGGCCTGACACGAAACGACAAAATTGGTTGACGTCCTAGCCTATACGATAGTCCGAAGTGCATCTTGGCCAAACTCTCCGGCGCAGTGCGTGGGAAAGTTACACACTCTGATCTTGTCGCCCCAACAGCCACTACAGTAGGTGGCCCGATATAGTGGCATGTCGGGGCAAGAGGAGAATATGCCACTATTCAGGGCAGTGCCACTCTTCGATATAGCGGCAACATTGCCACTATTGACCCGTGAAAAGTGGCACTATTGCCACACTATCGGAGAATAGGCTTTGATGTGCACGCTACCGCCAGCTGTGCATTTATCTACCCTCGTTGTGTACAGCAGTATCCACATGACAACGCAGATCCTGCCCATCACATGTGAAATGACAATTGATAGTCCAAGCGACAACGAGGCCTTCTGTGCTCACAAAACCTACCTCTGTGTACAGGTAGACCTATGGTAGACTGCAAGAAAATGTCCAAACGCACAGCAGCAGCAAAAAGCCACACTCTTTTTTTGCCGGCAGGCCATGTAGGATGGGAAGCAACACAAGCAAAAAACATGAAAATGCAGTGGAGGCAAAGCCGAGCATTCCCCACCCCGGCGCATCAATCCCAACCGTCACGATGCATTGTACCTACAGGCGTCAACCGACTACTTCCACTGTGATTCGCTAAACGCTCTGATGCCAAACTGCCGAATCGGTCTCGCGGTATGTTCTAAGAAGAATGCTATCTTTGCTTTGCGGAGGTAATATCCGGCCTCGCCAATTGCACAGACTCTCTGCGTAATCTTCTAGAAGACCAAAAAGCGCCAAAAGCCAATGTTTGTAATTGCCACTATTGGGGGGGGCGAGATGCCCAAAATGCCACTATTGAGGGCCCCATCCCGTCTTTCCCGTTTTCCTCAGGCTCCCCTCCTATGCCACCACTGCCCATGCTGTGTGCCAGGCCCTCGTTGACCAGGTGCTGGTGGCGTGCTTTCACCCCAGGCACGCCTTCCACGGCCTGGAACAGGACGACGTGCTAAACTACGAAAAGAGGTCTCCGCACCCGACCATCAACCTACTAAGGTGTTGTACCACATGGCATGAGCGAAGCAGTATCTGATGACGACGCTAACTCCCCCGTGGAGGAATCGAGCGGTCATCGACAACCTAGGGGGATTGCACCGTAGCGTACGGTAGTAGCCTAATTGACAGCACCGTGGGGGGGGGCGGGGGTCTTGTTTTCACCCTTTTCACCCTCTTGCCGTCCCTCACTGCGGCTGGCCTGTTGAAATAAACATCACCAGTAGCTGCCCATACAATATTCTCGGTTGGGCGACCAACTCCGCACAGTTTAGATCTTCGTATGTATCAGACGTACGCTACAGAGACAAGGCGTAAACTAACCCCCCCAAGTCGGCGTGTGTTTGGTTGTTGCGGAGGGCGGACATGGTGGACGAGTACATCGCCATGGGGAGAACGCTCGGCATCGCAGAGCACAACGAGAGGAGGTTACACCAGGAGGGCAAGGACGTCGTGAAGGCTGCTTTTGAGGCCACACTTGCTCTGGAGTGACTGCTGTAGACCCGCAGGAAAACATCCAACAACTCGGACTCGCTACCATTGTATCGCCTGACCCATATTTTGTACCTGCTGCCTGTGTGTCCAACACTGACTACCGCTAGGGTCGGTGTCAGGGTTAGTCTAGAGGTCTTACCACCGTCGTTGAATTGTCTTCCCCGTAATGCCAACGACGAGAAGTGTGAAGATTAACGTCGTTCGGGTACCGGCGTTACGGCATAGATATTAGTCTACCTGCTTCGAGGGCCATCTCTCTCTTTGGCTGTTCTCTGGCCCGTGCTTCTGTTGAGCCTTTCTTTCATGCACGAGAAACCGCCTGCCAAACGATTCTTTGTGGACAAGTTCTTGCTGACAAACAAATTGATTGGCGGACAATACTGCTGT